TGAACCTTTGGCATGCCCAGACTCCGTGCGTGCCCTCGCAGACCGGGCACTGTGGTTGGTTTTTTGGTCACGAATACACCTTGTCGCGGAAGCCGCATTCTGTCATCCACATTATTTCATGAGAATTTTCTGTGTTATTTCCACACCGCAGTTTGCTCGCTTCTCCAGAAAATCCAGAAGTTCCATGTAGATGGGCATTTTCTTGTCTTTAAGGGTAAGCTCCCACTGCCAGACTGTATTAGGAGTAACCTTCAATAGAATGGTGGTGACCAACAATGAATTCCATGTTGTAATGGGTTCACCAAGATTCTTCAAGGCACTTCTCGGAATATCGGACCATAATAAATTGGAAAGATATTCGTTGGGAATACTTCTTACACGACACCTTCGTGCCGTGTAACATAATAACTTCGTAAAAAGAATCATGTTACACTTTACTTGAATTCTTTTTGAAATATAAAGCTTTTGTTTCGATCACCCTGAACCGTTGTTTTCTTGAAGATATTTTTATATTATGCAGCAAGCGAGAAATTGAAGAAATTTCTATTCTCGAAATTTGTAAAATTTCAAACGTTTTTAAAAATATTGAGTGTTATTTTTATGATTGGAAATCCACCATAGAAACTTGCTGTAAAGAAATTCGGTAGTATATGTATAGAATCCACGTAATACAAGAAGTGTAAATATAATATAAACGGATTCGGATGAACTGCAAATATACAATCTTAATATAGAATTTTATAATTATTCTTTATATTGCTGTACAACTTCTTTCACCATTCTATTAAACTGTGATCATTAGGATTAGAGAACGAAGTGTTAGGATTTCTCGAATTTTTAACATTACATTAGTCTATACATTAGTAATGTTTATAATATTATAATACGCAGAATTTACTGTATTTTTAAATTCTCTAATATCTCAAAAACTAGCCGAAGCTAAAATTTTATATTTGAAATCCTGGCTGATTCTCTATAGTCCTTTTAAATATCACGCGATTCGTTTCCGGGACGAATTAGTTAAATCCAAAACCCAATTAGTTAAAG